CTATATTTTTATTAAAAAAATATGTAGTGCCACTGCATACTGGCTTCAGGGGACTAAGGAGACGCCAATTAAAGTCGTCATCAGGACAAACACAAAAGCTTGACTGAAACAGCCAGGGTGAGCAGCAGAATGTGTAGATGTGGATCTTGCCTGGACAAGCTCTGATTGCAGGTATGAGAGTGGCTGTTAAATGGTTCCAACACAGGACAGAGGGAACTGAAAAATGCATCTCTTAAGGGGAGAAAAGAGCATGGAGGAGGTGTTGACCTTCAAGATAGCAACTTGAGTATTTATGAAAAATGAGTAGCTTAAGAAGAGTGTTAAAATAGATAGAAGAAATAATAGTATGGGGAGAAAATAGAGACAAAAAAAGAAAGAGAAAAAAATTAACCTGGCAGATAAAGAGTGGTGATTAGAAGGTGGAGGAGCAAGACACTGAGAATAAATAGGATCAGGAGAGACAGCAAAGCTTATAAATGTACTTGATGTTACTGCTTCTTTGTGGCTGTGTAGCGATCCCAGGTGGAATAAAAAATTACTAAGGCAGGAAGATCAAAAGGAAAAGGAGTCGGGGCTGGGTGAAACTTCCTTCTCCGAATAAAATTTGAGATTATAGTTAAGCTCCTAGCAGTAATCAACTTCATCACCAGCCTAACTTGTTCTAGAGGAAGCACCAGAATGCCCAGACCTGATAGCCCACAGAGCAGTTTACATGCCGACATGAAAATTACACCCGAACATTGTAAAGATCCATACTCACTTCATGTGAAAGAGTGTGCAAATGTTATTTTTAAAAAGTGGCTACAGTGGTTTCCTTCAATCTGAACAAAGCAATCCTCGCCGGCAGCGCTGAGCTCCCACGCTCTCAGTGCAGCTGCCTGCGCGACCTTCCCTGGGACGGCCTGAGCTGCGCTGCGGGCACCAGCGCTCCCAGCCGCCTCCAGCAGTGCAGGGGAAGGGAACAGGCTGGGGTGAATGTGGCAGTTGTCTTAATTTACAAAGTCTGAGTCGGTCCGCTATAACTTACGACAGCTGAACCGATCATTTGCCAGCCACTTCTGCTGGGCACAGCAAGACGTTTTAATGAGGTTACTTCCACCAAGTTACACAACCAGCACGGTCACTGGGCTGAGGGAATTTGCTGAAGCCAACTCCTGTTCCCTTTCTGTCATAGATGGAAAAGGAGAAGTATAACTGTCCACCCCAGTCAAGATATGTTTGCAGGTTGCTTCTTTGCTTCATTGGTAATGTATTTTTGAGTATATGGTGGTGTGCTTTTTGAATGTTGAAAAAACTGACTTGGCATTTCCTGTACCTGAACAGAGAACCTCTGATCTACCTGCAGAGATGCCAGTATTTGCATCACTTTAAAGACAGAGAAATAAAGCGCATTTCTCATGACTTGCCAAGCTGCCGAATAATAATGAGAGAGATATACTTGGTAACAATAATGAGAACCCCATTTTGTTTCTGAACAAAAGACACTATTCAAAATCTGTATCCCATGAATATTATTTACATACATTTATGCAGAACCCAACCCCACCCCACGTTAGTACTGTGTCAAAGAGGAAAAATCAAACATTCGAGACAAGAAGTACAAAGCTAAACATGAAACACAGATTTTAAACTATGATAGATTTAACTTGGGCTCATCTTCAATTATTTGGCACTGCATTTCTCTAATTGTATACAGACTGGATTTATTCTGGGGCCTGTGTTGTCTTCAAGGATTTCTTCTGGCAAAGCTGAGACAACTGGAGAGAAACTACTGCTGCCTCCCCTCTGCCAGGAAACGACATCCTAAGCACGTGGGCTGGCCTGCAAGGAGCACACAGAACGCTTCGCTGGAGCTTCGGCAGATGGGATTTTAGAGCTGCTTTCAGCCAGCCAAACCCTCAGGAAGCCCTGAGTGGCCTTACAAAGGATAAATCCCTGTTTTGTCAAGACAGAGCAGTTTTTATTACACCAAGGAGGCATAATCAGTACTTCTCTATGACAACAGAGGGGTGAGTCTGATCCCATGACCAAAACAGTATTCCTCAAATATGTCATCATTCAGAGATGTTAAAAAGCCAGGCTGTCTGAAAGTCATAATTTACTGGCTGTAAGCTTGTATAGGAAATTCCAGTATATGTTACAGTACGTAACAAAAACACGTGCCAAAGGAGCAAAGTTAGTTGGGCTTTGGTATCTTCTAAATGTGAGTTTTTGTCAACTACAGATGCTGTATGAGTGACGGGGGGTACCTGGAATTTTTACAGCATTTTTGGTGGAGCTGACACAGCCTGTGGCCTGCTGCTACCCAGCCCAAGGCCCGTGTTCCCCACCACAGAAGTCATCCTCATCTCCTGAATGAATGGTTTTTCTTCTCAAAGCCAGCCTCACATCTCCTGGCTGTTCCCCTTGCTGTCTGCCACAGGGCAGTGCCTACAGCCTGACAAACTCACAGGGCTGGTAGGGAAAGGCTGGTCAGGGAGCTTGACGGCGCTGCCTGCTTGCTGCCCGTTCCTTCCCTTTCTCTTGCTTGAATTTCCTTGTTTCCTTCTCTGAGCTAGCACAGTGGATAGCCAGAGACACCTTACACATCTAAACAGTGCTCCATACTTGGCTACTAGTTTGGGCTGTCCTGATACTTGACTACCTGCTCTCAAGTAAACCTGAGAGTTTACTGAGTCTACTCCAGCTAAAATTACAGAGAACTCTGTATTTAAATTTCTCATTATTTCTAGTATAAATTATGTTGAAAGTCTAATTTCAATCAACTAATTTCCTCTTAAATTTTAACTTTTGATTGTCAAATATGCGCTACCATGGGATAAGTTTTCCCTTTCCCTACCAGCTGGGTACTGTTTCATCTGTCAGGCTTTAAGCCTTTACAAGGAAAATATCAGAAAGTGTTACACCAAAAATCAAAGGCCTGTAATTACCACCAGCCCTGATCTCAGAACTTGGACCTGAGGGAAAACCACAGTGTATTTCTGGGGAAGCAGTGCTTCCATCACCAGACTAAGCTTGTTTCTGATGGTCATTATTTGGTACTTTCACAGTAAGCTAACTGGCTCCATAGCAGCGCGCAAGTGTGTCCCTCTGCGAGGTCAGGGACAGACGCAGCTTTCGCAGAGCTCAGGACAAAAGCTGAGAGATGGGGATGCCCTATATCATGCCACACATCATAAATTAATGAGTAAGGTCTGTCCTGACATACTCAGGACAAGCTGCCTTGTAAACCATGCCTCCCCTGGGGCACCAGGAGATAATGCAAATCTGGTCAGTAGTGGTGACTGGATTCACAGTGCAAATAGGTTAAAACGAAATCAAAGCCATTTTTAACTGAAAAGGAGTTCCTGCTAAAAGGGAACATATTTAAGGCACTGGAAGCTTAACCTGACAGGTATTTTGGTTTCCTAACGTGCTCTGCCTGAACACGATCAACTAAACTTTCAGCCGTGAAGTTTCCCCCGTATTAGTATGGGGGCTGTTCCCCTGTTTTTCCCCCTCGGTTGTGCTCTCCCTCGGCTGCCATCCCTCTGTAGTCAGACAGACGAACGACACCGAGAAAGGTCTTCCGTTCAGCTTAGAAATGGGGTGAGCCCGCTGCCCTTCACACCGCCCCCCTGTCTCTGGGTAACCGGCACGTTACCGGGGGACACGCCCGGAGCCCCCGGTCTCACCAGGAGCTCTGCCCCGGCAGTTCCCGGGGCGGGGGGCCGAGGTCCGGCCCCGGCAGTCGTCCGTCCCCCCCCCCAAATCCGTGCGAACCCCCCGCGC